TAGGTGTCTAATTTAACGCTTATATGTTAAAAGTTTTTGTCACAAAGGATTATCATTTCTTTGCGTGTATATATATATATAAATTGACTGATCAATTGAATTTGTCACTACTTCAGATAACAAAAATACTTCTCCAGAGAATGTTTTCTGAAAGAAACTAGTAGCCTGGGATGCCCCCTAGTGGGCGTTGTTTAAATTTTTCCATGAAGCACGGTTCCTTTGACTTTTTTGTTCCTATCAATATGCTCTACAGCTGTGTTAAAGTGCCAATGGTAAGATTAGGTGAAGAGGTGGCAACCCCCCAAACTGTAGCCCCCTGTGCGAACAATAAAGGCAAAGAAACCATACTCCTACTTGCGACCCTTCGCGAGATATAAGCCCCTGAAATAATAAATTCCTATTACAAATATACTGAATTATTTATATTGTTATATTGACCAAATAATAATTTATTGCCAAATGAATAATAATAATTCATATTGTTAATTTAAATAAGAATTAAAATTGTTAATTTGAATGTTTGAAATATGACACACGATAGGGGTGCCTCTAGTGTCCGTTATCAAACGGTTACGGGACGGACACCCTTGAATGGATTATATATATAGATACTGGCAACAGCTGCTTGGATTTCAGTCTTTCCACTTAAAATTCCTTTACCAATTGTCATAGCAATTTTCCAGTTTCACTTTGCTCAATTACAGTAATCCTTTCCTTTCCTTTAAGGTAAGGAAATAAAGCCTTTTCTTTTGTTTACCTGACATTTTGACATCTTTATTACAGCACATATAATTTTAACATTATGTTTAAAAGGTACTGTTGCATTTACAAAGTATAACACATAGTATTTTATACATACAACTTTTAGACCATGTTTGCAATGCAGTCATTTAAAACTGCATATTTTGCATTATTATAAGAAGATAGTCATTGAATTAGTGAAAAGGTGTTTTTTTTTCAAAAGAGCTTAAATCATATTTATCATTTAGGCCAGTGATTCTCAAACTTTTTCGATCCACCGCCCCCTTTGTTCCATAAAGTTATACCCAACGCCCCCTAACACATTTTCTCTTGTGTGAGAAAAGGATTGGAAATATTCTTAGGAAAACTTTTCTATGAATCTCACACTTTGTGCCCTTACTGTACATTGTTCTCATCATCTGGAAACCATTAAATGCAATGTTTCCTCTTATCAGCCCCAATTTTGCCTTTGGTCACCGTTCAATACCCTGCCTCTATCATAGATCTATTCATCGCGCCAGAAGGGGGCGTTATTGCTTACTTTGAGAAACGCTGAGCTAA